TAGTTACTATAAAATGGCTAAACCTTGATATATCAGTGGATTTTTGGAATTTACTATTAAAATTCCAATAATATTTAACTGTGAATAAATTTTGATCCACTGGTCCGTTTTCGATGAAACAATTAACAAAATGTTTGTCTCGATGAGACGATTCTAATGGTCCCAAAATTGTCAAAATCAAACCACAGAATCCCGATATCGTTAATTATTCGTTTCACTTCGGGTGTTTTAGGATTGGTTTAACCAATTCTAAAACACCTGAAGTGACACAAATTTCTATCGACCTCAGGATCCTGTAATTAGATTTTTGACGATTTTGAGTCCATTAGAATCATCTCATCAAGACGAACATTTTGTTAATTGTTTCATCGAAAACGGACTAGTGGATCAAAGTTATTTACAGTTAAATATTATTGGAATTTTTAATAATAAATTCCAAAAATCTGCTGATATGATAAACTTCATTAAGTAATTTATTTGAAAATTATTAATCTATACAGTATGAGATAAGTTGGTCTGGTTCATATTTACTTGCTATTCAATATTTACTAGTTTTTACAGGTTAGATGCAGTATTATACGGTATTATTTAAAAATGTATTACCGATCGTAAGAACACAACAAGCTTTTTGCTATGCAGATCTTAAATATTAACTTCATCAATCCTAAAAAAGTCATTGTGGCAACTATTTTGGGATTAAGAATCTAAATAATAACGGTGCTATGGTAAAATTCTATAATTGCTATTAGTATACCAAGAGTCCAGTATCCATAAAATTAGATAATTAGTAAACCAAAGATCTGGTATTTATACTTGTAAAGTGAGTTATATGCTAAAATAATTATCCAATTAAACAAACAAGAATTCGATACTGTGAAAATATCTTTGAATATTATTAATAATGATCAAAATCCATTTCGCATTCAGAATCTCATCTGTTGTATGTATTGCATTTTCAACCTATAGATATGAAATGTTTTTTATAATAAGAAAATTCGCTGCTCCAATCTATTAAAAATTTGCATTATACTAAATTTAATTTAAACAAGATAGTAATATTTTTTGTGTACATAATAATGTAAAGCATTATTTTATATAATTATAGTGCAGCATAAAAGAATAAAAATTGTATAAAAAAAAATCGCTATTTATGTTTTTCCAAGTCAAAGAAATCGAATTAAAAATAAGCACAAATTCTTATTTTTCTGTTTTAAATATCTGAGTGCTATAAGTACTTCTGAAAAGAAAACTACATATCCAGAAGCATATATTTTATTGTTAAAATTTTATCAAAAAGCGAATCCAACAAAAAAAAAAAGAAAATGCTATTAGAGAAGCACAGAACTTATAGAATAAGCTAAAAAGTGATAAAAATAAGCTAGATGAAAAAATTAAGTTGCTAAAACTTAAGAATAAAGAAAATAAAATAGAGGAATGGCTCTTTTTTTTTAAAGCTGCTTGTCAAAGCCAAGAACATAATGCATTGAAGCTTACAGAGGAGCTGGCACGTGTTTCTCTGGCTACTATTTCTGAAGATGCCATTGAAAATACTACTGATGATGAAACTGATAATAGTTCTATATCTAAAAAGCAAGAGACGCTAGCTCAAACTATATTAAAAGATAAAATCATTCAATTGAATCAGGAGCTATCGCAACTTCAAGGGCTAGAAGATAAGGGTATGATAACAGAAGCTGATAGTGATAAAAAACGAAGGTAGTTTATTATTGTACAGTTGACTCTCATTAATATCAACTTCATTGATATCAACTTCTCATAATATCAATCTAAACTTGTAAAAAATTAAATTTAAATCATATAAAATTTACCTCTTTGTAATTAATTTTTTAAAAATAAAATTTAACAGGATTCAAATTGAAATTTCAACATTATCAAAAGCTTTATCAAAACTTAAAAATCAGCAAAATATTCAGCAAAAATATAGAGATCGAAAAAAGCAAAAGCTTCAGCAAACAGAGGATCAATTAAAGACAGCAGGTATTAATACACAACTTGTTAGACCTGTTGGCCGCCCACAGTTGGAAGAGACCCAAGCAGGTTTGTTAAAAGCTATTTTGCACCTTGTTTCTTCAGATGGACAAGCAGACAAACAAAAGCGTTCAGAGATAATACAGTCTGTTAAGACCTTGAATCAACTTCAGGCTGTATTAGAGCAAATGAATTATAGGCTATCATATTCAGCTACGTATCTTCAGCTTCTCCTAAAATGGTATAATACTAAAGAAGGAAAAAGACATATTAAGACTGTATCTGTAAAACTTTTAAGATTACAAAGGCTGCAAGAAAAAGGCATGAAGATACTCAGTTTTGTGCTTCTCTAGTTAGAAATATTAAAGAAATAGTATTATTGTTGGATCTCAAAGTGTTTTGACGATCTTTCAGGATGACAAAGTAAGAATACCTCTTGGTTTGGCCGCAGCAAACAAGCAAGCACCAATCCTAATGAAAGTGAAATACAGAGTGGAGCTTCCGGACCATGATTAGGTCATCGCTAAAAAACACAAACTAATTCTGTCAGTCTATACAATATTGGAAATGCAAGGTGGTAAGTAAAAGATAATAAGAATAAAATACTAGTACAAGCCTGTTCATAAATAGCCTTTAAAATTTTAAATATTATCAAAAAAAAAAAGCAAAAATTTTTTTAAAATTTTATAAGTTGTGTAAAAGCTGTTTATATTTATATTAAGACTTTCTGTCACATTATATTTTTTGAATAAACAGCGGCTCATGTTGTTCTACACTTTTATGCTAAGATTAAAAAAAAATATTATTATATATAATATTAAAAATCTTCTATTTTAACTATAGGTAAATATGGAAATGCTGAAGCAATAACGTACAGTGGTTCAACATTTATAAGGATCTGTAGCGGCAAACACGATATCAGCACTGCCTACTCTCATAGTAAAAATTTTGATGACATAATGAATGATGAGAGATTGCATAATTTTACTAAAACAGAAGATGGTCAGACTAAGCCTGTAATTTTAATACTAACCGATGGAGGTCCTAATGAGAATCCGCATTATAAAAAAACAATACAGATGATGATTGAACATTTTGTAAAATATGACCTTAATACTATTATTGTGGTATGTTTAACTCTTACAGGGGATCACCAAAATTCTGAGTCAGAATGCATCAGAATTCTGATTAGCAGAGCCGGGATTAACTAATTTTGTCTAAGATCACTAAAAAGTTTTACTAATGAAGTCATAGCCTACTTATTAAGTAAAGCTGCCTAGCTAATAATTTTAGCCCAGAAATAGTTGACTTATATTGCTAAATTCCAGCCTAAATCCGATGGATCTGACCAGAATTTTAGTGATCTCTGTGTAAAAGGCAATTTTTTAAGCTTAATTGATTGGTGGCACAGCCACAATTATTCAATTAATTGCAATTTCATATAATTAGATTATATATCATATATTTACTATTAAGATTATTAACAGTAAATACATGTGATTTTTATTTTTCACTATTTAAAAAATCATGTTTCAGCAGGTAGTGCTCTACGCAGTATAGTGAAAAAAATTGAATTTAATTGCAATTAATTGCAATTATTTTATCATTAATTGGTTTTAATTAATTTTATATTGTAATTGACAAAAATTAATTACAATTGATTTTTTGGTAGGCCTGTTTTACACCATACCAGAGTGCGTCTAATTCTGTTGAAAGACGAATGGCACCCCTTAGTCATGATTTAGCTGGTATAATATTTCCTCATGATATGTTTGGATTACATTTAAATGAGCAACTAAAAACATTTGATGAGAGGCTAGAAAAACATAACTTTAAAGCTGCTGGAGAGATTTTGGCTTCTGTGTAGAAAAATACTATTATTGATAGTTATCCAGTTTTAGTTAAATATGTAGATCCTCCTGAGGAATACTATCAATCAAGCTTGAGCGAAAAACCTATTACTTGGATTGAAAAATATACCATGACTTGTCGTTATATTACTCAGGTTGTTAAATGTGATGACCCAAGTTGTTGTAAGCTCTTTCGCAGTGGAATTCGTCAACTTCTTCCAAATCGTTTTTTTTCTCCTCCAATTTTGGTTTAACAAAAACCATATAGTATTTGTGCAGCAAGTATAAATATACCTGATAACACAACATACTTTAGCAGTTTTCTGTTATCTATATTGATGGAGTGAAAGCTTGTTCTCTCAAAGATGAGCTTGTCATGTTTTCTCTTTGATTGGTATTGTTCTACTGTTAACAAATCA